TTATCATCAAGGACGCTGATTAATCGTCTGCTAGCCAGTTAGATAAATAGTCTGACAGACAGAGCGATACCAACACTCGCCCTCGACTACGAGCCCATAGGAAGGGTGGGCAGAATGATAACAGATACGGGCGTGGCCCCGCCCAGGCGGAATCTTGTATTAATTTCCTTTTTATGGAACATTAATGGACTGTATTCTAAGGTGTGTGATAATGTCTTCTTATCCTTCCTAGCACACCGTGACATTGTGGGACTCACTGAGACCTGGCATGATCATACTTCTCTTGAAGATGATTTCCCTGAGTATGTGCGTTACAGTGTTCCAGCAATGAAACTATCCAATGTAGGAAGACTATCAGGCGGCATTCTAGTGTTAGTTAGAAGGAGTATACAGAAGTTCATTAAGTTACACAAATGTACTGAGATGCAATTTTTATTGTGTTTGACAAATTTATGCTCTCTAACAACAAGGACATACTTATGGCTTGTGTGTACATACACCCAAAAAAGTTCTCCATGGTATAACAACAAGCCCACTAAGTGCGGTATACGTATTTTACAAGAATCATTACTTGACATTATTCAAGAGCTTGGCAATGTAGATGTGTCGTAACTGGCGTTTGGGTGTTAGTAAACCTTACCCCAGTTACCTATTGATTATGGTCGTTCCACATTGTCAGGGGAGATGTAAGCTCCAGCTCTGCACTCGCTTGGTCCATGGGGAATGCTCAGCCAAGGAGTGAGGGGTCGGGCGACCGTGACTCCTAACTAACTACATCACATTCATGTACTGGCTTACATACATTCAAGGATAACACCAAGTTCTATACTCACATAGGTTTACTGTCTCTCAGTCCATATCTCTCAAAGTACAACTCCAACACAAGACAGAGCAGGCTCGTATCCTACGGGGAACTTAGTAACGTGGATTAGCTTCTGAAATGTTGAGCTAGTACTCTCCGCACTCTCTGCTCTTAGCGCCCAAACATGTCTTTTTAAATGAGACGAGCCTGACCTTATCTTAATCACATATTTCCCACATATTGTTTTGATTCGTTAATAACTGTATCTGTCCTTTCACTCATGTGTATTATAATTACAGGGGTCTCGGACAGCACCGTTCAGTGACTCCCCTTTTCACTGATTTGCTACTCCCGTCTCCGCCTTTTAACTCATGTATTTCATAACCTTCCTCTAACGACCTTGTCGTGTCCTTGCCTCACGAAAGTTTTAGCCAAGTTCATATCTCAATGTTTATCTTTCTCTTATTCACGACTTTCTGTCTCTATTATGTGTTTAACCGTTCTTAGTCATGAGCCAAAGGTTATCAGTTCTGAGTCATATTGGTAATCGAAATACGGAATCTGCTGTAATTCTCATACTGCTTTACGGATGCATTTTCACCTTATAACAGATGTACTACTAGGTGGGGATTTTAATGCAAGAACAGGTATAGAGTTGGATTTCATTTTACATGTATTTCGAGTCATGTTGGTTTAGACCATTGCTCATATATACACGATACCCGTAATATATCACGTCATTCGCGTGATATGGTGATAAATAAATACGGGCGTTCATTGCTACAGCTCTGTATTTACTTCAATCTCATTATCATGAATGGAAGATGTGGTTCAGATGCAGGTGTTGGTGAATATACTTTTGTTTCAGCAGTGGGTACAAGTGCCATTGACTATAGTATCACTTCAAGTTCTTTATTCACATTGTGTCACGAATTCGATGTCGTTACGAGATCTGAGTCTGATCATCTACCTGTACGATGTACGTTTCAGTCACGTGGCATACACGCCACTCTACGCGAGGATGGTAACGTAACACAGGATGCACGTGGCGAGGGTGCGAAGTTTAGATTTAAGTGGGATGTGGACAAAGTCGGCCAATTCAGGGAGAATTTACTTTCACCTGATATATCTAGATTGCTTGAAAGCTTTTGTGATAACGTTCTTTCAGATATTAACAATGCAGTAAAATTTCTTACAAATGCAATATGTCAAGCTGCACAGTGTATGAAACGCAAACATGGCATAAATAGACGAAATTCACAACCTTGGTTTGACAAAGAGTGCACATTTCTAAGACATGAGAAAGACAGACTTCTGGGGTGTTTTAGGCATTTTAACGATGGAGCATCGCTACGAAAGAATGTACATGCCAGAAACAAGTACAATTGTACTATAAGATCTAAAAAAAGAAATTACTACGGATCTGTAAAAGATATATTACTTATAAATCTGAATAACTTAAAATTGTTCTGGAACACCATGTGCAGGCTTTCTTCATCTAAGAATTCTATTCCCAACATAACAATGGACTCGTGGTATACACATTTCAAAAACATATTTTCAACATACGGATACATTTAATGTCGATTTACATTCTATCGATCATGATACTGAAGAGAAGATAGATCAAGACAGCCCTAGTATACTTGACGCTCCTATTACAAGTGGTGAGATCTATGCAGCGATTACAGAACTAAAATCATCCAAGAGTGCTGGGCCTGATCATATCATAGCAGAATTTTTAAAGTCCTCACAGGATATTTTAGTGCCCTATATTCAGCTGCTATTCAATGTTCTGTTTGATCGAGCGTATCTTCCAGAATCGTGGTGTATGGGTTTTATTGTACCTATGCATAAAAAAGGCGACACTAGTGTAGTTAACAATTACAGAGGTATATCAATTACAAGTATCTTCAGCAAGCTGTACATACACATTCTGAATAATAGATGAACATTTTGGTGCTCTTGCTATGAAGAAATCGTTGAATCGCAAGCGGGTTTTCGCAAAGGTTACAGTACTATTGATAACATTTTTGTCCTACAGTCCATTATTGAACGCTATCTCTCAAAAAAGAGAGGTAAAGTGTATGAATGTTTCATAGACTTTTCCAAAGCCTTCGACTTCTTGAATAGGACAAAACTGGAATATTTTAAGGCTAAGAGGAGTAAGCAGCAAAATACTTAAATCAGTCCAAGCCCTCTATGCAAGTGTTAAAGCGTGTGTCAAATTTATTGATAATTTATCAACATGTTTTGATTGTGCATTGGGTCTACGACAAGGGTGTATCCTAAGCCCTCTTCTTTTTTCCATTCTTATCAATGAACTAGCTTATGAAATCGAAGCATGTTGCGTACCAGGAATTCAGCTTCATCCTGAACTTGTACAGTTATTTCTTCTTTCTTTGCCGATGATGTTGTGTTTATCTCTGATACAGTGTTTGGTTTACAGAAAAGACTTGATGTCCTAAAGATATTTTGTTCTGAGAATTGTTTGACGGTAAATATGGAAAAAACAAAGGTAATAGTTTTTAAAAAAGGTGGAAGACTGTCGAAGTATGAAAAATGGTTCTGTAATGGTGTACAAATAGAATGTGTTTCCTGGTACAAATATCTAGGTATTTTTTTCAGTAGGTCATTAGTATGAACCAAACACATAGAAAATGTATGTCTGCAGGCTAAGCAAGTTTTATTTGGTATTTTTAGATCACTGTCAATGTTTAAGCCATTACCTTTTCACTTGTTCTTTAAGATTTTCGACACAAAAGTTTGTCCAATTTTATTATACGGTGCAGAAATATGGGGACTGAATGTTGTTAACGAAATAGAAGTTATACATGTAGCAGCTTGTAAACGATTTCTAGGAATTAAATTCTCTGTTTCAGCGCATGTTGTGCGAGGCGAATGTGGAAGATATCCCTTGTATGTTTATACCATCAAAAGGTCTATCAAATATTGGTGTAAAATATTGGAAATGTCAAATGAGCGATACGTAAAGAAATGTTATAACATGCTTGTACAAATGGAAAGTAATGGTTGCAGGAGCTGGGCATCTAGGATAAAGCATATATTAGAAGTCTATGGATTTGGATTTGTTTGGCAAGAACAGATGGTTTGAAGTGAAACGCTATTTTATAATGAATTTCTTGGTAGACTCAAAGTTTCGTATCATCAGGACTGTCATTCTGCAGTAAAAAAAGGCACAAAAACATTTGGATACACTTTGTTTAAACCTATGTTCGGTGTTGAATCTTATATCTTCATAGTTAACTATTTTAAACATAGACGTGCGCTTGCTCAGTTTAGATCGGGGTCTCATAAACTACGAATAGAAACTGGCAGGTATATTGGTGAGGCTAGAAATGACAGATTATGTAATATCTGTAAATTGCCATGTATAGAAGATGAATATAACTTCTTACTTATTTGTAATAAATATCAAGCATTGCGGCGACTGTATATCCCTTTACACTTTTATGAATATCCAACAATCCACAAACTTAAATTTTTTTAATACGCTTCTGCAATCATCAAATGCAAGCATCTTAAAACATTTATCAGCATATATATTTCAAGCTATGTTACTGAGACAGTCTTCATTATGACATATTTTCTCACTCTGTAATTCTCAAAGTGTAACCTGGGCCTATGGCCTATATTACTTTTCTGAAATAAACCACCACCAAGTAAGTAATTTGTAAAGGGAGTCTGCCACCATCACCAAGAGCCATGTTATTACAGGTAGATTTACCAACTTTCAAGAAATATTTACAAAATTTTACCTGAACAGACTCAATGATGTTACAATAGTTAGTACCCCAAATCTCAGACCCATAACACAAAATAGGTGAAACCATACAGTCAAAAATCTTATACAAGTCTTTACAATTTACTCTTCCCATCCTTTTTTGAAAACCATTTATAGAAAATATTGCCTTGTTAGCTTGAGATACCAGACAGCTTTGAGCTTTACTCCATACAAGTTTTGGTGTAAATACAAGTCCTAGATATTTATAAAAGGATACAGTTTCAATAGGATTACCATTATAGAACCACTTTTCATATTGCCGTGATGGCCCACTATTTCTAAAAACGAGAACATTTGTTTTACTACGATTAATTGACATTCCAGTTTGTTTACAAAAACATTGAAGTGCATTTATCTTCTGTTATAACTGATAACAAGGATCAGAAAGTGCAGAAATATCATCAGCAAACATAAGTGAACACAAATTGTTAAAACCAGGTGAAACATTAACACCTATACCACCTTCCTGTTCCATTAAGGAAAACAACTTATTAATAAATATGATGAACAGCTGTGGGCTTAACACACAACCCTGACGGGTACCAATATTACATGTAAAACACTTAGTGAGTGAGTGAGTAAGTGAGTTAATATTTAACATCACATCGGCAATATCTCAGCCATATCGTGACGAAAACAATTCATACAATATAAAGAGAAAACGTTTTGAAGATTAAAACCTGTCGACGATGGGCAGTAAAAATACTAGAGAATCACAGATATGAATAAAACTAGCGAGCAAAGCTAAAACATTTCAATTAAAGAGGACAATACTGTATAAAACACGGGCTATAGATCGCCAACAACGGAAGGTAGATCACCATACTAGGTACCATGGGGACTTACATTACTTTTACTACCTGCATGGACACTAGCTGGATTTACACCATCCCTTCAGCCCCTGGCGATTGTAGGAAAATGTAGCCGGCAGTTAAAAGAACAAAGATACTACGTTTAAAGTATGGTAAATTTACATTTTACTTTGAAAGTTTTGGGACTTACGTACCCTCTCAGGACAATAATTTTACAGTACTTTAACCCCCTTTGAGGGTACAGCCACTAACAATCTAAGTTACTAATCTAAATTACCAATCTTCAAAATATGTCCATTTACAAAACACATTAATCAGAATTCATCAAACAAATCAATTTCTTTTATAAAAACAATAATAAAATGATAATTAACATTTGTAAAAAGATCCTTCATTGTTTTTACATTGAAATATTTATCCCTTATGATGGAGAATTCAACACAGTCAAGCAGGACATGCTTGACCGTGGTTCTCTCATCACAAGGGATACAAAACGGAGGATCTTCACCTTTTAATAGGTATTTGTGAGTATAACGCGTATGGCCAATGCGACATCGTCGCATAATGACCTGCTCAAATCTGGACTGACAACCCAAGTAGGTGTAACCAATATAAGGTTTTATTTCATGTAATTTGTTAATACCTACTTGGGTGTCCCACTTCTTCTGCATCAGATTACGGATTTAAGTTCTAATGCTAGCTTTGTAATCAGAGTATGGAATAAGAAGTGGTGTCACAGATTTATTGAGTGCTGCCTTAGCAGCAATATCAGCCATTGTATTCCCAGAAATGCCAACGTGGCTGGGTAACCAACAAAAGATGACGTCGCACTGGCCAGCAGCAAGCTCATTATTCAATTCAATAATGTCTGCTTAAAGTGGATATTACAAGAAATATTTTTAATAGCCTGAAGACACGAAAGAGAATCAGAAAAGATGATGTATTGTATATATTTACGGTGTGTCTTTATATATTTAAGGGCTGTTAATATGGCGTTAGCTTCTGCTGTGAAAATAGAGATATTATTTGGTAGTCGAGAAGATATTGTTCTGGATCCAATGACAGTGGCACAAGCCACCGCGCCACCATCCTTGGATCCATCTCTAAATAAGGATTTATATGTATTATATTTATTTCTCAATTGACTAAACTCTTGTTTATACTGTAAATCATTAGTTTCGGATATTTTAAATGTGGTTAATGTTACGTCAACGTCTGGCCTAACCAATTGCCAAGGAGGAGAAGAAAGAAGACGAGAAGGAGATATATTCTCCAGCTCAATTCCGGCAGCACCAATGAATGGTTAATTCTGTGTCCAAGAGGCGGAACAAGAGAAGACTTTTTGTTATACAAATCTTCATAAAGAGGATTGAAGACACAGTTAAATGCAGGGTTAGATTCGTTAGAATATAGTTTGGTAATATATTGTAAAGATAATTTTATACGGCGTTGGGTAAGAGAAGGCTCATCTGCCTCGACGTAGAGACTATCAACTGGAGAAGTTCTAAATGATCCAAGACAAAGTCGTATTCCTTGGTGGTGGATAGAATCAAGTAGTTAAGGTTGCTTTTGCAAGCTCCGCCATATACGATCGAGCCATAATCAAGTTTAGATCGCACCAATGATCTATATAAGTGAAGGAGGGTAGTTTGATCCCCTCCCCACTTTGAATTGGAGACAACCTTTAACAAATCGAGTGCCTTCAGGCATTTAGCTTTAAGGGATTTAATATGTGGCAGGAATGTTAAATGGGAATCGAAAATTCGGAATGGGAAAGACCAAAGAATTTGGCCTCCTTGACAACTTTGATAGGGTTGCCATTTAAAAATATTTCAGGGTCTTTATGCGGTTTGTATTTTCTACAAAAATGTAGACAATTAGTTTTAGATTTAGAAAATTTAAAGCCGTTTTCAAGACACCATTTATTTATTTATTTTGTTTAAACATAACTGCAGTTGCCGTTCAATAGTATGCATATTTTTACCACGACAAGAAATATTAAAATCATCCACAAATAATGATCCATCAATTGAATCATTTTAAACCTTTGATAAACTGTTGATTTTGATGCTAAACAGTGTGACAGACAAAATACTGCCATGTGGGACACCCTGATCCTGATTGTAATGATCAGACAAAGTTGAACCCACTCGGACTTGAAATTGCCTGTCATTTAAAAACTGTGATATAAAAAGAGGCAAACGGCCTCTCAAACCAAAGTCATGTAAACCCTTAAAATGACATGCTTCCAGGTCGTGTAATAAGCTTTCTCAAGATCAAAGAAAATTGATACAGCATGTTGCTTATTTACTATAGCATTTTTAACAAAGGATTCTAAACGTACCAAATGATCAATGGTACTACGATTTGTCCTGAAACCACATTGAATATTTGTTATAAGGTTATTGGTTTCAAGATACCAAGTTAATCTATTATTCACCATACGTTCCATGGTTTTACAGACACAGCTAGTCAGAGATATCGGTCTGGAATTAGACGGATCTGTATGATCCCTGTCAGGTTTTGGTATTGGGACTACAATGGCATTACCCCCCGAAGGAGGAAATTCTCTAGACGTCCATATTTGGTCAAATATATCTAAAAGTGTCATCAGACATGGTTCAGGTAAGTGTTTCAGTAGCTGGTAATGTATATTATCATCACCTGCTGCAGTGTCATGAGCTTCCTCAAGAGCAGTATGTAGCTCATGTAATGAAAACACTTCGTTATAATCTTCACCGTTATTTGATTCGAAATTAAGTTTTGTCTTTTCCTGATGTTTCTGATATCTCTGAAACTCAGGGACATAATTTGCCGATGATGAATTTCGCCAATTGTATTTGCAATATTAGACTTGTCAGTAATTAAATTATCACCATCTTTAAGATGGTGAACAGCAGATTTTGAACCTTTGCCTTTAATTCTTTGAACCATGTTCCATACCTTAGACATTGGCGTGCGTGAATTAATTTTTGAGGCATAATTTCTCCAAGATTGTCGTTTGTTTTGTTTAAAGGTACGGCGCGCCTTTGCATTGAGTATTTTAAATTTATTTAAGTTATGGACAGTTGGATGATGGCGGAAATAACGCTCTGCCTTTTTCCTCGCTTTTCTGGCTTGTCTACAATCTGTATTAAACCATGGTTTTCGTACATGTGGAGTCGTAGAGGACTTTGGTATACATTGTACACTCATCATCAGCTATTTGCTTTAAAACGTCAGCAAAAGTTTGAATGGGATCAGTTATATCACTGAAAGATTCAGGTCGCAGTTTCGATTTACATATAGTTTGATATAAAGACCAGTTAGCCTTCGAAAAGTTCCATCTTGTATACGATGGAGAATAAGATGGAGTTATTTCTGAAAGGATAGTTGGGAAGTGGTCACTTCCACAAAAGGTCATTATGAACAGACCGATCAAATTCATTCAGGAGGTTAGAATCTGCAAGAGACAAATCCAGAGAAGAATAAGTGCCAGTTGCAGGATGCAGGTAGGTGCTTGAATCTTCATTAAATATGCACAGGTTATTATTGGAAATGAAATCTTCCAGTATTTTCCTTTAGTATTAGTGTTAGTACTGCCCCAGAGTGGGTTGTCACCGTTTAGGTCACCCATATTAACACATGGCTTTGGGAGTTGATCATAGAGTGATTGAAGATCAGTCAGCTGAAGGTTCGATGAAGGCGGAATATACAGAGAGCATAACGTAAATGCTACACCCAGAGTAAGTCGCACTGCAACAGCTTGGAGATTAGTGTTAGGTGTAACAGGGATGTGAATAACATCCTGTCGTATAAGGATAGTAGAACCTCCAGTGGCTCTATCACCTGGAGGGGAAAAATAATGATACGTTTCAAACTGACGTAAGTTAAAATTATCTGTCTGTTTCAGATACGCCTCTTGCAGACAGAACGCTGATGGTGTTAAATCCTGGATTAATAGCTGTATTTCATAAAAAATTGTCCGGAGTCCTCTACAGTTCCACTGCACAATATTGTTAGATAGACCTTCTTTTAGGCGGATTAATTTGGGATCTACCCCGCACCGTTTTCGAGGGCAACAAGCTATGCGCCCTAGAATGGACGTTTTCGGACACGTCCATGTCCTCAAGTGATCCGTATTTGTTATATAATTTGATTTTATCATCGGAACCTTTTGGGGCTCTGCCACTTTGTTTTTTCAAAGAATTTTGCTTCGGTTTGCCTTTGCTTTTGACGATTGGTTGAACGTTACTGGTAGACTGAGACATATGAGACGCTTGAGAAGATGTATCACGATCATAAGTTGCTTCTGAGTGGGTTTGGGGCGTGCAAGGAAGTGGTTCCACAGTTTGTGTAGACATACATGATTCCGAAGGAGGTGTGGGCGTAGGATTTCGTCACGGCACCATATCCTTTAATATTTAGATCCTGTATTCAAAATTAAGCTGTGTATGATTTTGGTTATATTTAGTTTTCATGGTATGCCCAAATTTTGAAAAAATATTTATATTTTGTGACATTTATTCATCATAATGTAGTTTGTTTACATTTGATGAATTCTTGCAGTGATTGCAGGTACCAGCTATCAGCGGCTGATCCTCACCCCCAATGCCCGTCATGCATTAATCCATGTTCTTCCAGCTTGCGTTGGAGATACTGTATTAAATTATCAGATTTGCAATTTAATCATTATTTATCTTATATCTATAGACGGGCGATAGACCAGGAGAGGAAGTCATCTCAAGTCACTGGTGATAATACCGGTAACCGTGTGTTGTTAACTACTGCTGAAATTCAACACATCAGAGGTTGTTTAACGAAGACATCGTGCCTCCTGATGAAGCAGACGTATATGCTGACTCTCCGACGCTACTGTCTGTAGTACCAGTAAGATGTACCAGAGCGTTGACGCAGTCTACATCCACGACGACACGAACTCCTCTACAACCATGACAGCTGTTCAGCTGTTTGACGACCAGCCTCCACAACGCAGACGTCTGTCAACAAAGACAACAACAACGTAGAATCATCGCAGCTGCAAGTAGACGCAGAATACGCCTCAGCGTTCTTGAACACTTCATCTACACAGCATTAACTCCGGTCTACAAAGCAGAACATCGACCCGATGACTTCATGATGCAGTTTACAATGCAGATGATGGCGAGGATGGAGCAGAGGTTTGCCGAAGAGAGAGCTGGACGGCAGAACCCTACGATGACAGACAACGTTCGACGATACTCGGCCCTGCGAGAACCTGCGAGACATTCAACCTTGTCCCACAAGCCTACGGCCGAAGAAGAAGAAGAGGTTTGGCGAACGTCCCTGAGTCTACAAGAGGTTCGGCAAACGTCCCTGAGTCTACAAAGAGACTATGAAGTCACGTCAGCAAACCGACAACACAGCAAACCGACAGATATCAGCAATGCAGACAGCTACAGGGTTCGCGAACCCTCAGATCTACAGGAGGAAGATTCGGGAAAGGAAGGTTTGTGGAAGGGAGGTTCGCAAAAAGGAAGCTGCATGAAAGGAAGATTCACGAAGGGAGCATTCGCGAATGCACTCGCGAAGACACAGTTCATGAGAGCGAGAATCGACTCATAGAACAGATGAAGAAAGTGATGGCATCCTTTCGGATTCGGAAGTTACATCCTGGATCGCAAGTGGTCTGGACTTAGCGTCTCCATCCAAAGAGTCGAATGAAGTGCTCACGTACAAGATGTTGAATGAGGATTTCGACTCTCTCACGATCCTGCCCATCGAACCGGAGTTCAGATCGGTTAAGGAAGACATAGTACCTTCCGGCCAAGTAGACGCTCCTCTAGATTTTAAGACCAACGATTACGTTCACACACACTATTTCATCGGTGAGACGATCTTCCCCTGCAGTTACGACAGCTACCCAGCTGTTTGATGATCAACCACTGGCAATGCAGACGTCTGTCATCAGGGATGAAGACAACGCGCCTCAGCGTTCATTTACGCGTACACCGCATTTCATCAAGTTCAGCCCACATCGCAGAATTTCGTCACAGGCGTGTTAATGAAGCAAGTTACATAATGTCAGACAACGTTCGAGAAAGCACCAAAGATGAATCTCCACCATGCATGCAGTCTCGAATGGAATGTTCGTAGATGCCAGACTGGCTACGCAAAGTTAACCTGCATAAAGAAATGTTGTCAACTTTGCACGAATGCAGCTACATTGTGATTTTCTCCATTCGACATCGTGCCTGCGCAGTTTACAAGAGATTAAGGAAACATTCTGACAGTCGACGCCAGCCTAAGATTGGCGTCATCGCAGTTCCTCATCGAGACATTGCATCCGTTCCAATAGTTATTAGATTAACATTCAATTTGATGAATGTTTCGACTCTAAAATCAACGTGGCAGCGAAGTTATCAATGCTACAGTAACCTACTTGTGTATTACAACACAATTGGGGTGTGCAAGAATATTTTACAACGCTTCATTCAGACCGATTATTACTGAAAACCAGTAACAACGTTAAGGAAGCATGGGAACCTCATCAGAACATCTGTAAAAGATGACGACTGCATTGTCTTCAGTGAATAATAAGAAGTTGAAGAATAGAGACGCAACTGCCAGGGGGACAGTCTACTTACATCAGCACTAAGCGGCAAATAATTTCTCACGCTTTTACTCAACCAACTACAACGTACAAGCAGTGTACAACGTGGTTCCATCGTCTTCACGGGGATGCATAGAGGTCTTCTCCTGACAGCAGATTAAACATTGTTTATCTGGAGGCTTGCAGTAACAAGTGACAGATGGTTTCTGTTCGCGGCAACCAGTCTAATATAAATAGACTTCACATCTATGTCAGCTCGCTTTCAACATAGATCGTTGGCGATTTGAAGACAAAGAATGACACATCATTGCTGCATATCATCGAGATTCCAGTAATAACATCTTCATTACCGCTGAAGCGTGTACCTGGTTGGAATTAGACATATATAACTGTTTTACATGAGTAATCAGCCTCTACAACAACAAGCGTTGTGCTGTGTTGGATTCTGGCGGAAGTGCTGCAGTTAGCAAGATTTGTTGTCAATCAGAATGGCATCATAATACCAGTAGATCGAACAGTCAAGATTCAAGCCATGATTCCAGAAACAGTCATCTGTCCGTTGTCAGCAGACACGACCGTAGAAGTCTCAAAGACGACAATATTATTTGGATGTGAGCTGACAAAGCAGCAGGACTAGAACCTCCAAGAGCTTCCAAACCATATGAAGTCAGAGCACTGGCGTCCACACGCTCTGCACGGAAGCTGCCAGATATCAGCTATGATGGAGGGCTGCTTTTGGAAGTCGGACACAGAGTTTGCCAACCCCTACATCAGTTACATCACCACCGAGGACGCCTCCGGCATTCACCAGTTTGGGCCACTTGTTGTAGCACTACAACTAACGGTTCCACAAAGGCGCTGAGTTGGGAATCTCAACCTTTATCACGTTGACTTAACCTTCTCTCTCGAGAGAGTTTTGGTTGAGAGTCCATGCGCTCTGTCTACACCAGACTAGCAGGACTGATTAAGACTGTACGGGTAATGGTCTTACCTATACGATAAGGGGTCGCAACTCATTTATGGTAATGATCTTATCATAATCTATGGGTTGTTTATAGATAACTAGTAAGAAGAAGATACTAGTATATCTAAAATCCACATGAATCTAAAAAGATTCACTTGTCTTAGAGAAGTATGACAAGATGTGGTCCCCCCCGAGTTGACAGCGGAAGTTAGAAGAACAGGATGCAGAAAGTGCCATTACACAGTTCCCATCGGGGGCAGACAGAAATTATATAAGGACAGCTGATGAATCCACGAAATGGCTTGACCCACTACCAATCCATCGGATTCTGGAAGCATATAAGCATGAGTCAGGAAAAATATGTAATTGTTTTAGTAAATTTGATATTTTATACTTATCTTGACTCATGATGTTAACCCTCCCAGCCTCCTTGCAGAAGACACTTTGGGTTTCTCAGCAAACCCAGGTGCATGGGCTTATTCAGGAGAGAGTGACAAGCATGGCAGGTCACATGACTGTTTGCGCGGGAAAAGGGAGGCAACTCTTGGGTGAGAGAACTTTTACGTCCTCTTCAGGGAACTACAAGGGATTCTAAGTGTTCCACTACCATTCGCATGGAAGGAAGAGAAAGCAAATAAGCATGAGTCAGGATAAGTATAAAATATCAATTTTACTAAAAAACTTACATTTTTGTTTTCGATTGTCTATTTTGTTCATGATGACAGGAACATTTGTTGGGTACCATCTTCAGTGGCATTGACATTAATGGGGCTGGTCGAATGCAAACCGGGCCGGTTCTCTCTCCTTTATCAAGTGTTTTTCTGCTGATGCAGTCAAGCACTGGTCTGTCTGGCCCTGACTTGACTCGTCTACAGTCCGCTAAATCACAGCTTGCAGATTGATGTTTTGGCATAATACAACACTTTGTAACTCATTCATCTTTAAGTTGTGAACCATCAAATGAAGTACCTCCCACTATATATCTGATGGTTGTTTTATTGTGTTCCATGTTAGAAGTGTCCAGCAACTGGCCCCCCTGTATCCGTGTGATGGTCTCCGAGTCTGACTCTCTGTCTCAAGCAACGCTGTTCATTGTAACCTGTGATGGTGCCAGCATTGGTAGGGAGAAGGGCATGAACAACCTCATCAGAATACCTGACATCAACGTCAGCAAGGTAGGGATCTCATCTCACTTATTTAGTCATAAGTAACATGTCTATATCTTGTCTCAGGTATGTGTCTGATCTCATAGATCTTGTCTCAAGGTATGTGTCTGATCTCATAGATCTTGTCTCAGGTATGTGTCTGGTCTCATAAATCTTGTCTCAGGTATGTGTCTGATCTCATAAATCTTGTCTCAGGTATGCGTTCGATCTCATAGATCTTGTCTCAAGGTATGTGTCTGATCTCATATCTTGTCTCAAGGTATGTGTCTGATCTCATATATCTTGTCTCAAGTTATGTGTCTGATCTCACAGATCTTGTCTCAAGGTATGTGTCTGATCTCATAGATCTTGTCTCAGGTATGTGTCTGATCTCATAGATCTTGTCTCAAGGTATGTGTCTGATCTCATAGATCTTGTCTCAAGTTATGTGTCTGATCTCATAGATCTTGTCTCAGGTATGTGTCTGATCTCATAAATCTTGTCTCAAGGTATGTGTCTGATCTCATAGATCTTGTCTCAAGGTATGTGTCTGATCTCATAGATCTTGTCTCAAGGTATGTGTCTGATCTCATAGATCTTGTCTCAAGGTATGTGTCTGATCTCATAGATCTTGTCTCAGGTATGTGTCTGATCTCATAGATCTTGTCTCAAGGTATGTGTCTGATCTCATAGATCTTGTCTCAAGGTATGTGTCTGATCTCATAGATCTTATCTCAAGACGTGTGTCTGATCTCATAGATCTTGTCTCAAGTATGTGTCTGATCTCATAGATCTTGTCTCAAGGTATGTGTCTGATCTCATAGATCTTGTCTCATGTATGTGTCTGATCTCATAGATCTTGTCTCAGGTATGTGTCTGATCTCATAGATCTTGTCTCAAGGTATGTGTCTGATCTCATAGATCTTGTCTCAAGTTATGTGTCTGATCTCATAGATCTTTTCTCAGGTATGTGTCTGATCTCATAAATCTTGTCTCAGGTATGTGTCTGATCTCATAGATCTTGTCTCAAGGTATGTGTCTGATCTCATAGATCTTGTCTCAAGGTATGTGTCTGATCTCATAGATCTTGTCTCAAGGTATGTGTCTGATCTCATAGATCTTGTCTCAGGTATGTGTCTGATCTCATAGATCTTGTCTCAAGGTATGTGTCTGATCTCATAGATCTTGTCTCAAGGTATGTGTCTGATCTCATAGATCTTATCTCAAGACGTGTGTCTGATCTCATAGATCTTGTCTCAAGTATGTGTCTGATCTCATAGATCTTGTCTCAAGGTATGTGTCTGATCTCATAGATCTTGTCTCATGTATGTGTCTGATCTCATAGATCTTGTCTCAGGTATGTGTCTGATCTCATATATCTTGTCTCAAGGTATGTGTCTTATCTCATAGATCTTGTCTCAAGGTATGTGTCTGATTTTATATTTCTTGTCTCAGGTATGTGTCTGATCTCATAGATCTTGTCTCTAGGTATGTGTCTGATCTCATATATCTTATCTCAAGACGTGTGTCTTATCTAATAGATCTTTTCTTAAGATATGTGTCTGATCTCATAGATCTTATGTCAAGGTATGTGTCTGATCTCTAGTGACTCGTCACAAGGTTGGTGTCTGACCTGATGTTTACATCATGTACTACATCTCAAGGAGTATCTGTTTTGTTTTCAGAAATACCGTAAAATCTGTTGAACAATGACATTGTTGTCACTCATCATCAAGAAAACTTTCCGAAACCTCAGACCGTTCTCTCTTACTGTTACTTTCTCAGCAGTATTACTGAAGGTTTTATGACGGTTATTTTGCAGGCAACCAAGAAACAAAAATAGGGAAGGAAACATATTTCTTTTGTTTAATTTCACTCACTGTCAGCCACCCAGCTGCATTACAATTGATAAATATAACCTCACATCCTGTCTCCTGACGAAGTACAGTTTGTCATGCTGAGTCAGCAGTCTAAACAGGAAAGTTCACAAACAGCAGCATCTCATCAAATCATTGTGTAACACTGAGCAGTCCAGTAGGGCTCTCTGAAAAGATTGATAAATGGAAATATGGGAAGGATAAATAAAAGTGAAAATTGTGTCATCAATAATATCAAACATAAACTATAAAGAGTTAATTTATTCAGACAATACAAACATTTACACCTTTATTCATTGACAATGGTCAGTTTTGCTAGAAATCCATGAATAAATATGTCACCACTTATCAGTGATGTTGATTTCTTTCTCTCTTTATCCCCTGCAACGCGTTTTGCGGGGGGTATTAAAATGGACTCCGTCCGTGCGTGCGTGCACATTTGTCTTTTCCGGAGCAGAACTCTTAAACCGTTCAATATTTCTTCACCAAACTTGGCACATAGATAGATCTGGTGGTGTACTGGTGCCTTTTGGTAGTTTTGTAATTCTGAATAAAATATTTTTGGCGTTTCCGTGGCAACAAGTTCGACATAGAATGAAATTGGTGGTAGTGCTCTTTTCCGGAGCTGAACTCTAAAACCGTTCATTATTTCTTCACCAAACTTGACACATAGATTGGTCTGGTGGTGTAGTGATTATGTTTGGTAGTTTTGGAATTTTCTGAATAAAATATTTTTGGCGTTTCCATGGCAACAAGTTTGACTAAAACAGAAATTAGTGGTAGTGCACTTTTCCGGAGCTGAACTCTAAAACCGTTCATTATTTCTTCACCAAACTTCGCACATACTTAGATCTGGTGGTGTACTGGTGCCTTTTGGTAGTTTTGTAATTCTGAATAAAATATTTTTGGCGTTTCCGTGGCAACAAGTTCGACATAGAATGAAATTGGTGGTAGTGCTCTTTTCCGGAGCTGAACTCTAAAACCGTTCATTATTTCTTCACCAAACTTGACACATAGATTGGTCTGGTGGTGTAGTGGTTATGTTTGGTAGTTTTGGAATTTTCTGAATAAAATATTTTTGGCGTTTCCATGGCAACAAGTTTGACTAAAACAGAAATTAGTGGTAGTGCACTTTTCCGGAGCTGAACTCTAAAACCGTTCATTATTTCTTCACCAAACTTCGCACATACTTAGATCTGGTGGTGCACTGGTGCCTTTTGGTAGTTTTGGAATTTTCTTAATAAAATAGTTTTGGCATTTCCATGGCAACAAGTTTGACATAGACTGAACTTGGTGATAGTGCTCCTTTCAATACTCTCCTTCCACTTTTCTATATACACACCTACATATTTGACATAATCATAACTCGTAGACATAATCATGAAGAGTATTTCGCCATTGCGGAGAATATTGATGACTTTGTCTTCTTGTTCATTTTTAGGCCAAGTTACTTCTCCTATGTATATCAATAATTGAGCGATATTAAGTTAATGATTATTGATCTTATGATCTTATTGCCATGCCTCTAGTCAAGACAAGGCCCAGTCAGGCCATACTGACAGATACACCTACTCCCTGGACCACCCCTGTTAACAACTCATGCGTCTGTGGTGTGAGAATCACTGACTGACAAAGAGTTACCATGTAAAAGTAGGCAATCTCATCAACAGATATCGTAAAACTTCTAGACCCAGTTAAGGCTGTTGCTACTCAGTAAATAATGTCATTGTTCAAAACTTTACTGTTTAGGTGTATCATGTTATTTTCCCCTAAGGTGCAATCTGAGAGTACAGTCATATCACATGGTGATGTTCTTCGAGTGGGCAATACGACCCTGTCCCTGCACATCCACCCTGGCAGTGACACATGTGATGAGTGCGAGCCAGGACAGGTCTTGGGCAGATTGCAGGCTGAGGAGAAGGCTAAACATGGTAAGTGTCTGGCCAGTGTTGTGTCAAGCTCAGTGTCATGTCAAGGTCAGTGTCTGGCTGTTGTGTCTAGGTCAGTGTCTGGCCCTAGGTGTGTCAAGGTCATTGTCTAGCCATTGGTGTGTCAAGGTCAGTGTCTGGCTGTTGTGTCAAGGTCAGTGTCTGAGCATTGGTGTATCAAGGTCAGTGTCTGGCCATTGGTGTGTCATGGTCAGTGTCTGGCTGTTGTGTCAAGGTCAGTGTCTGGCCATTGCTGTGTCAAGGTGAGTGTCTGGCCATTGCTGTGTCAAGGTCATTGTCTAGCCATTGGTGTGTCAAGGTCAGTGTCTGGCTGTTGTGTCAAGGTCAGTGTCTGGGCATTGGTGTATCAAGGTCAGTGTCTAGCCATTGGTGTGTCAAGGTCAGTGTCTGGCTGTTGTGTCAAGGTCAGTGTCTGGCCATTGTGATGTTGAGGTATGCGCTTAGTCAGTGGGGTTTGTCAAGGTTAGTGCCTGGCCATTGTTGTGCCAAAGTTAGAGCCTTAGTTTTGCACTCCATCTGGCGAGGACCCATAAACCAGTTCCAAGTTTCGGTAACTTCACCGTGTCAAAACAGATGATGTTATATTTCAGTATCATGAGAATTAAGGAAGTAATTTAGAACACATAATGCTTTGCGTGCAGAACACGCAGGTAGAAAATATCGTGTGCGAAACGTAGATTTATTTGCATGAAACATGCAGGTTTTGGCCTTAACGCGAACACTGGGTGAGTGAGGGGTATGACCTGCTCACTTTTGGAAGCAAACAATGAGATGGATGAAAAAGTGATATGAATATATCCATAGAGGATAGGGTTTGTATGGATACCTATATTGGTTTTTGAATCAGGTTACATATGTTATGTAGGATGTCTGGCATTGCTAGATAAAGAAGAGGAATCGACAAGTATTGAGAGTGTTGCAGAGGTGAAGATCATGAGTAGGGCAGATCGGTTGAAGGAGCACAAACAGCAGCTGAAACAGATCAAGAGGAGATACGGTCTGGAGGTGAGCTGAACCACTGGAGAGGTTTCCAGGTCCCCATGTCTATATACATGTGTGTCCTGGCTGACTGTGTTTCAGTGGATTAGACTGCTGTAAGCTTTGGTCCCAGACTCTCAGTTATGAATCTATACTCCCCATCAAAAGTTAAGACTCACTAGTGTAAATGTAGCAAATGCCACTTACTTCAGTCAACTGATCTAAACTAGATTTTGCTAAATATTCTGTGCAGTTTAAGGGTACTGTTTACACATAAACTGATGTATTGTAAAACAAATGTGTAACGTTGAAAAGATTATTGTCATGAGTTCAATAAATGATGAAACTGAGTGAAAACTGGCGAATCCTTAACAAAACTTTACACCAATTTGCAGCTGTTCACATGCACGATATTTGCACCTGCTTTTCAGCAATTTTATGCATGATCCTTGTGCAATTCATCTCCATAAGGTTTGCAGTTGGTGGAGACATTCATCTTTGATGTAACCACATATATATACATAACATATAGTGAGTGCTTTAGGTGATTCTAAACTTGATGGATAGTACATATGAAAGCAACAAAACGCTTTCCATAGTCATAAGACATCTTTCCTGGAAGCAGAGTATCCTCAACAATTCCAACAATATCGTGAACATGTGTTTATGAATCACCAACAAATAGGGATGACACACCATCAAAAAGGTGAGTGTATCCTGCCACAAGAATACATGCAATGGCAAGTCAATTATCCACATGATAAACAAGACAAAACAGGAAATATCCAAATACAGCCAATAGATAAATGATGATAATTGTATACAGGTCCCCCGCCGTGATGTTGCTGGAATATTGCTAAAAGCGGCGTAAAACCAAAACTCAGTCTGTCAGGTCTAGCATATATACCCGGTCTGTGTTTAGTAGTCCATTGTCTACTTTTGTCAATCTATCACTAAAAGCTGTACCTTCACCTGTTCCAGAACTGTGCCTATGTAGACAACACAACGGCCATCCACAACCCAGCCTATGAAGACAAGGCAGCTTCCAGGCGGCTGACAGTCGGTAGTGATAACCCACATGCTCCGGATGAGGGCCCAGCCTCGGTCATGCAGTAAGAAGCAGATATTACTGTTTGCCTTCACAGCTCTCATGTTCATGTTCCAGTTCCAGTGACATTCTCAAATCCTGTTGTCAGTCAGTTTTGTATGATTGGTTCACATTGTAACTCATTATGTATTGGGTGAAAAAAGATTACTTGAAGTGACATTTCCTCTGATATCATTGGTATTGTTTTCAGACCAATATCAACTCAGAACAAGGGCCACAAGCTGCTGGCCAAGATGGGCTGGAAGGAAGGTCAAGGTCTTGGCAAGGACAATACAGGAATAGCAGAACCGGTTAGTGAAATACGTCATGATTTGAATATTAGAAAATTGACAAAATCTCAGTTAATTCTGTGATATGACTGCTAAATACATAAAAAATCTCAATCCCAACATACAGTCATTCAGATTTGATGGAAAAGTTCACTTGCCCCTGTTTCAGATCAATGTGTTGCTGAGGACCAATCAGGCAGCTGGATTAGGGTCTGGGGCAGCAGTTCAGAAGAGCCTAGATGACGTGCAGATGGCGGGGAAGAGTCAGCGATGGCTGCAGGCCCAGCAGAGATACAACAAGCTGGCTAAGCAGCCTGTTGACCTTAGCAAACCCACAAACATGTCCCTCTCCTTCAAGAAAGGCCCAACCGTCAAACTCCACCCAAAGGTTGACCTTGGGGCAGGAGAATCTGATGAGGATGGAGACTGACTTGATGGAGCTGTTTGTGCAGGACTCCCGTCAAAGGTTACCCAACACATGTGATCAGATACTGATCTGTCAGCCAGTCGAACAGACCTGTATCACTGTGTGCTCATTCCCACACAACAGTGAACTTAGGCCCTGAAGGAGTGTGTCCCGGGAATGGTTTTGAAAACAGGAACTTGCGACAATCCAGGAGGTGATGTTGCGATGACCAGTTTCTCAAAGCTGATGATCAGTTCATCATCATTCACTTGGGTGGTGGGGTGGGTTAGCCTTGTGGTTAAAGCGTTTCGCTCATCACGTTGAAGACCCTGGTTCGATTCCTGACATGGGCAAAACATTTGAAGCCCATTACTGTTGTCCTACCTGCCATGATTTGGCTGGAATATGGCTAAAAGCGTCATAAAACCAAACTCAGACACTCATAATTCATTATAAAAAACATTAAACATGTTCACTTTTTTTGGTTGCAATTATGATCTATTCCCAAGTTCCAACTTGTCACATTGGCAAGAGGGTATTTCCAGGCAGGATTGATTGTGTTATGAAACAAGACATTTCCTGAACTTGGTGATCTCTTGACAGCTATAGCTAATGCTGGAAGTTATCCAGGACCAGGTTGTAGCAGGACTTTAGTGATACATTCATGTGTCATAGCACCCCTGTTACTGAACGTACAATAAATGTGTTGGTTTTATCAAACCACAACACTATGCAAGCATTAGCTACCCATCATCATGATGGAGGTCACTTACGAACCCGTAACACCAAGCATGTAATAATATGTACTTATATGACTTTCCAATATTTGGAGTTGAGAGAATGTTTTCACATCCTTAGCCTAGACAGTGTAGATGACATGAAACTAAAAATACTGTTTGCTAACGAGGAATTGTTGAAAAGTTATACCATGTATATGGGAAGACCCTGATTTGAAGACACCTTCCTGAAAATCTCTGTATGATTAGTTAATGACAGATAGATTCCTACTTTGTACAATATTTATTAGTGTGACCATAAGGTAATGAAACAAGTAGGGTTTAGTGTGCCCAGTGGTCAATGAGTGTTGGATACTGTGTCCAGATAACATGAACAGTGAAGCATTGACTCACACTTTGTCAAATTAGATGGATGTGATTTGTTTTGTTGTTTATTTGGTTGATCTTTATCCAGTGTTGCTCAAATTGTGACAATCATGTTAACTTGTGGTCGGATTATGTATAATTAAAAAACCCAACAATTTAAATTATCTTTTTATATGTTAATTTTGATAGGTTACCTCTTGGAGGGGTAAAGGGTTGACAATGGCAGCAGTACTACTGTGTTGAATGTATCGGAACACACTGACAACATGCAAACCAGAAGTTACAAAATGACCAACGGTTGTACTTGGCTTCTGTTTCTGGGAGTCCAACCTCAGATTCTGTGACAACTGAGGGATACTTTTCTCTATAGAGCAATTCAGTGTTTTTCACATGGGTCAAAGACCAGTTGGAAGGAAGGTCAAGGTCTCAGCAAGGACAATACAGGACAGCTTGCAGAAAAGTGGTCATGGCCCAAAATACAATCGCTGTATTTGTTAAGGCCGAATCTAGTAGCTACGTGAAACATTCAAGTATTAGACAATGTTGGGACTTGATACTCTGTACATCCTTAAAGCTGTTCCTTAAAGCTGAATTTCAATGAAGAGACATTGCATTGCATACCTCTTGCTGAAAACTGCATGAAATGTTCAGTCAAGAGACATTGTTGATACAGCAACGTGAATATTCTCGATTAATCCATAGTCAAGTTCAAAAGTTGGCTTTGTATGAGATGTTACGTGTGTTAACAACGGTTACAGTCAGAGCCTTCGTACTTCCTGTCCTCTTGCACATCACCAGCAATCAGGAAGCCAGATACAACATTGGGTAGATCATACTCCTGTGAAGATGTATGTGTTTACTGGCCTGTATACTTGACAATAATACTACTTGACACATTTACTAGTCTTTTCGAGACACTAAACAAGTTGAAAGTGAAAAAGTAATGTCTATTTTTCCATGTACACTGCACAAGGTCAATGCAAAGTTACATATACAGGTTCTAACGGGTTCTAGTTTTCTGTATATACGTATGAACTTATACAAAGAGTTTTTAAAAATATCTTTATATTTTTCTTTGCAAGAGAAGATGAATGACTCGGCAAACAGCCATTCCATTCCATTGTTGGATTATAAGAACTTGGAAGTTAGAATGATGAGCTGTTCATTCAGGAGAGCTGAAAGGTGGGAGGTTTGATTCCCTATTACCTTTAATCGACCGATGTAAACAAAAACCCAGTACTTACTGTTACCCTGCTCTATGGGCGGGATCAAGGGCTTAACTCGGAGACCGTGCATGGTGTTGTAAGCATGCATCCATGTCGATCTGCATCATGTGTAGTTACCTAAGCACAGTATTAAACAGTACTAATATGATATGACGATATTCGAAATATTCGTAGAAAGAGCATTCATTAAAGTCCACCAGTATCCAAGGGCAATTTAAAAAGTTTTGGTCCAAAGAGGCGATCATACGCTAGGATACGTTTTTTTTAACCAATTTAATAGACGACAGTACCAAAATGACTTTTTCTTGACATGACACGTGTCCTGTAGCCACATCGGTGCTGACTCGAACATTAACGGTTGTTAGTCGACTTGCGAGGATGTACCAGTGAAGAAAGGATCGTCCAAGAAAGATAGAGGAAGACCAATCACCAAGCTTGACCAAAGGCAATCCTATGACACATGCAGCAGAAGAAGAAGAAGAAGAAGAAGAAGAAGGGTATATTTTGTATAAAGGCCATACGACCCATCGTACAAGGTGGTACAATAGTGATTTTGGTTACCATTTTCATACAACAACGCTAACAAGAGCAGAATAAACATGTTCTAAGAACTTGACATAATTATTTATGACGTTATTGTCGGATGAGGTACATATGCTGCGGAGTGAATAATATTATCCATGGACCGTTTTCGGAATGTAACGCCGACGCATATCCTCATAGCGTTTACAAATATAGACAATATGGATTTCATCCTCAATACTTTTACAGTGTTTACATAATACAATATCAACATTGCAGGAGGCACTACCTCTTCTAATATATTTGATACCTACTGCATTACACCCTGATCTAAATAATGTGAACAGACGCTTGCACTTACTACTTATGTTCAATGATAGATATTTTTCACAGGTCAACAGAGATTCATGGGACTTATAGAAAGACAGCGAAGGAACATCTAGGGACAAATGCCACTCTTGCATAGAGCAGTTGCAAATTTGTCCTAGGAGTTGGTTATCGCTCTCCTAATAAAGCTGTTTTAGCGGAATGTGGAAGATATCCACTCCAAGTCAATTATAAAACAAGAGTTATATCATACTGGTTACGACTACTTAGCCAGCCAGCCACAAGACACTCTAAACGTTACTATAATATGATGAAAAATCTAGATGATAATGGAGATACTTATAACTGGACCTCTTCAGTTAGAACATTGTTATTTCAATACGGTTATGCACATGTATGGATCCACCAAACAGTTGGAGATCCTTATATGTTCTTAAAGCTATTCAAACAACGCTGTAGAGATATATATTACCAAGAATGGTCATTCGATATTGCAAGCTCCAAATATTTGTATGCATATTCACTATTTAAACATGACATTGTCCATGAAACATATCTAGAAGTATTATCCTCTATGCAACTCCGCAGATCTCTTACAAAATTTAGATGTGGCATCAGTAAACTGAATGTACAAACCTATAGAAGATCCAAAGATGATGATATCAGTTCTGCCATGTGCGCTCATTGCGTCAATATTGTCCAGGACGAGTACCATGTTCTGTTACAATGTCCTGTTTTTTCTGATTTACGCATCTGGGCCCCGTTCCTCAAAGCGATCGTAGCGCTACAACAGTCGTAAGTCTATGTTAAAGTATGGGAGTTACGATCAACTTTGCACTACGATCGCTTTGAGGAACGGGGCCCGGGTATATACCACAATATTATTGTGTAAATCCCAACATAGAGAAGTTTGTAAATTTACTTAACACCCAAAATGCTCATATTATTTTACGCCTAGCCATATTTGTAAACAAAATCCATAACGTTTTATGATACTTATAAATGCCAGTGTACTTCTCATGCCTGCGCTCCAAAGAACATGATGTCAAAATGTCACTGTACTATCTGCCTCATGGCCACTCTACGAAATAAATCTGTCTGTCTGTCTGTCTGTCTGTCATAGAGCAGTTGTTAATTCTTTCAGTAAACATATATAGAAACATTTTTGTATCACCGACATCTTGTGAAATCCAAGCAGTACCAAAGCCAAGGTAAAATAACAAATCACTGACATGCCGAGCCCATGTGGGACGTTTCCTGAATTCAACAGATAATAAAAATTGATAACATTGATATGGATATCTACTTTGATGCATTCTTAATAATCTTAGCCAGTATTTAATACATTTGACATAATAAACATTGCTTAAGGGTGTCCTCCCACATTCCCCATATGCAACAGCATTAGATGATCTGTAACTAATCTGAAGTAAACATTTGCAAATTTTTCGATGGACAATTTCAATACTTTCTCTCTTTTTAAACCCCCATATCTCAGCACCATATGTTAGAATTGGTACAATCTTTTTATCAAAAATATAAAATCCTTCTGAGAGTGACATATCATATCGTCTTATAAATGACTTGATCGGCCACAGTGCCTTATTAGCTTGATCAGATAATGTTTTACATGCCCTAGTCCAAATCAATTTGGGAGTTATCATAAGTCCTAGATATTTATAAATATTGACAGTTTCCATTCGATTGCCATTATAGAACCATTTTTCGTGTTTGGACAAGGGTCCACCCATTTTTAAAAACAATTATTTTACTTTTATCAGTATTAATATCCATGCCCCATTTATGGGAATACATATGTAGGGCGTCAAGGCGGCGCTGTAATCTAACAACAGTATCAGCTATCAAAACCAAATCATCTGCAAATAACAGAGCAATAATATTCAACATATGTTCGGAGATAAATATACCATCATCAAACTTATTTTCTAAGGTCAATACAAGCTCATTAATATATAAAGAAAATAATACCGGACTAAGGACACAGCCTTGCCGAACCCCACAGGCGCTATCAAAATATTCAGTTAATTTCTTACCATACTCATAGGTTACAGTGGCCTTGACATTAGTATACATATTTTTAATCAACTTGACAAAATTTCCATGGATCCCATTTTGCAAAAGAACATACAGTAATTTAAACCTATTCACCGTGTCAAAGGCCTTGCGAAAATCTATGAATGCAATATATATCTTCCCCTTTTTTACGTGTTAAATACTTCTGAATGATTGTCTGGAGAATAAAGATACTGTCCACAGTCGAATGGTCTGTCTTAAATCCACCCTGATATTCTCCAATTATCTCACGAAGTTGCAAAAAGTACTCCAATCTTCTGTTTAGAACCGAAACAAAAGTTTTGCTCATTACATTCAGGAGAGAGATTCCCCTATAATTATTCGGGTCAGATTTACTACCTTTCTAATGTAGTGGGATAATAATGCCAGTTGACCAGGAATTTGGCCAAAAGCCGGATGAGAGTATCTTGTTGAACAGTAATACTAAATAGGGAACTATTATATGTTCAGAAACTTTGAAAAACTCTGCGGGAATACCATCATCGCCTGGGGATTTGTTACATTTTAGATGTCTGATAGCATTTATTACATCCTGATCTGTAAAGTCACATGATAGAATATCATCGTCATTGATACAATCAACACATGTATTAAAGTCATGTTTATCAATATATGATTTGGCATCTTCTGAAAAGTTGCCATCTTCTGGCAACGTTGGGTTTAACAAGTCCTTGAAGTATTGTTGATGGCGTTACACTTTCTTCCATGGCGCGAGTTGTGGTATATTTTTTCACAAGTCGCCAAAATGCTGAGCAGTCTCTGGAACAAGCTGCATCATGTATGTTTTGAGTAATGGAACGTTTGTAGCTATCTTTCTTAGTTTTACAAGTCTGTTTGAACTGAGATCTAATGTCTTTGTATCTATTCAGATTCTCAAATGTTGTTGTTTTGCTAAACACATTAAGCAGCGGACAGAGAGCCTTCTGTTTCACTTTTCAGGCCAGTCGACTTCGTCCAAGTGAAGGACTCGGCAGGGTTGCTCTTCTCCTCAAGACACTGTCCGTAAATAGGATGCAGCATTCGTTCAGAGCGCCTTCCCTGTACTGATTTGATATGGCACTTCTCTTGGCTGACACTCATTCCTGTACCACCCAGCAGTACAGAACCATCAACAAAATCAATTTTGACGTTGATGTTCTACACAACACCCTAAGCTTTTTTTTAGATGACTGTGGAATGTCTTGCTTTCGTGATGAGTTTCGACATGATTCACAGCAGGAGAATTCTGTCGTGAAGAGCCTCCGCCTTAATCAAACCTCCCATTAAAATTGACAAATCGAAACGACTGAACGAAGAGCGAGGGTTGTGGCTTCTATTTTGCCCGAAGTTTGTCCTATTATTATACACTTAATTGTGTTACAGTTACCATTTTAACATGCGGAATTTGTGTTTCAAGCATATAAAACAACATGTAGTGTTTTGTATTTATATAGAAAGGTGAGTGGCGCTTGGTTTATACTCATGCGTATATAAACTGGGTGGTATTTGTGGTTGTATTTAAGATTCTTCTAGCGATTAAAATAATTTACACTGCCCTGTCAATCAAATATTTAAACTGCCATAGCAATCACGATATTTCAGATTCCCCGGGTCGAATATTCACATTTTCTCGAGTGTGAATTGTGAATGTTATCCATGTCATATATTCATATACAGAATGTGCGGGGATAACTCCTA